AAGTTACAGACATTAGAGACTGCATTCAGTGTTGAAATTAGGAAAGGTCTGTAAATATATATGAAGAGCTAAAGTTTGACTTGGTGTTATTGTTGATTGCAATCACTGAAGATTATTAGTGTCCATAAGAGTATGCTTAACTTTCACATCCAGATACTCTTCATTTTGGTTAGTGTGACAGTGGTGAACTCCTGTTCATAAACTGTCAGCTTCCATGATGGTAGTGTCAGCCCACACATCAGTTGTTTTGTCTCACACCCATTCTCCATGGCTCTTAATAAGTTTCCTTTAGCCCTTAAGGTTTAACACCTGTATTGAGATAATAATTCATGTATCATAAAATTCTCTCCTATAATTCTGTGGTTTTCAGTATTCACAGAGTCGCACAACCATTACCACTATCGAGTCCAGAATATTTTTGTCGTCCCTCCCCCGCAACAAAAGTCCTCATATTCATATCACTCTTGTCCCAGTCTGCCACCCTCAGTCCAGCCTGGGGTAAACACTAATTTGCTTCCTGTCTCTGAAGATTTATTTGCCTATCCTGGACATTTCATAAGGGTGGGATGGAGGTTTATCTGTGCTGAACAATGTGTCAGTCCTTCTTTCCTTTTTATGGCTGAATAATACTCCAGTATTGGATACACACCACATTTTGTCTATATGTTCCTATCAGTTAATGGACATGTGGGTTTCTGCTGTTACAAATAATGCTGTTAGAAATATTTGTGTGCAGTGTTTGAGTGGACATGCATATTTCTCTTGAATATATCTAGGAGTGGGTCTTACTGGTTCTTGTGGTAACTTTGAACATAACAGCTTGAGAAATGGCCAAATGTTTTTTTAAAATAGGTGCACATTTTTACATTCTAATTTCTCTCTACAATCTATCTGTTGTTTTTCTCTCTCTTTATTACAGCTTTCCTAGTAGATGTGAAGTAATATCTTGCTGTGGTTTTGATTTTGTATTTCCCCAAATGATTAATGATGTTGAGCATTGTTTCATGTGCTTTTTGGCCAATATTTTTCTCATTTCAAAGAATTTTATTTATTACTTAAAATTTATAATAGAATGTTTGCTAATTCAATGGAGGAGGAATATATTTTAATATGTCATATATATGTATACCTGTGTCCTTTTTAATATGACATATGCTACTATTAGAATTGTTTTGTTTTGCAGTTATACTTTCTAATATTTAATTTGTGTTACATAGATTAATACTACTTAAATTCCAAAATATTCAATTTAAAATGATTAATATAGTAATTATATAAGCATCTGTATGTAAGCTCAAATTTGTCCTAATTATAATAGGACATAATAATAGAGTACTAATTTATTTAGAGCATATCAACATAAGAGACCTCCATAAAATACACAAAGTGTAAATAAATGTTTATGTGTCTGGGAAACAAAGGCAAGGTCTACCTTAACTCTGGCATGTAAAGACTGTTATTTGTTCCTTATAACTGATGGATAACTTTGAAATAAAATTGGAAGAACAGGCAGAGACACCATGGGAAAAAGAACTTCCATATATGAACTGTAATTATGGTTCTTATTAATTTACTTATTTTTCACAAAACTTACTGATTTGTTCTCAAAAATATTATAATATATGACTAATTCAAACCTCTTTAGAAATATTTTAATTACCTTTCTGATAACTTCACAGGAAAAATTGTTTTCACCTATGAAAATCTTTGAGGCATATGAGACTTTTCTTTTCTGTTTGGCATAATTATTGACCCAGCACTCAGGTCCTGCCTCAGTTAGGTTGTATTTATAGAAACTCTAAACTGCGTTGCTACTTCTTACCATTATTTTGAGTGTAGGAACAAAATAATGGTATTGGAAAAATTGGATCTGGCAAACATTACTGAACATACAGATATATACTCTTTGAATATGAGAAAACTTCCAAAAGTATTGCAAAATTTCATCACGTTCCATAATTTTCACATACTTGTACAACAGTATTTCATTTATTATTTTACATGTACAGTAGATTAAATATTGTAAGCCCTGTTCTCATTTAGGCTCACAGTGTAACATGAACAATGGTAAGAACAGATTGTATGAAACAGATGCATTAATTACATGTACATGTTTAAAGAACTATGAATCTGGAAAAGATTTTTAAACATCACACAATTGACCTACTTACATTTATCAAGTCTGTTCAGAAGAATGACTCCCCTGTTTTTAAGGATTTATCTTTCACCTTCAATGCAATTCTTGCCATACTATAATGTGCTTCTGATTCATTCTGATTTTTCTGTAAAAGATTTCTCAAAGTGATCTTTCTCATTTTATTTCTACCACACTCATCATCTTGTCATTCTTGTCATTTGTATCGCTTTTGTCAAACTTAAGGTCACTTCCACACTTGTATTAGAGAGGACAGAGAACCAGAAACAATATGGAATACATACACATAATATAGGCCAGTTTTTTATTTTTGGAAAATATCTGTTCAAATTTTTTGTCTCCTTTTTAATTGAGTTTTTATTATTGAATTGTAAGAAGTTTTTATATATTCTGGATACAAGTTCCTTTGCAGATGCATGATTTGCAAATAACTTTTCCCAATCTTTTCACTTTCCTGAAGGTATTACTTATAGAACAAAAGATTCTTCATTTTGCTATAATGCAGTTTATGTCTTTTTTCTTTTGTTGCTTATGCTTTTGATGTCATGTCTAAGAAGCCACTGCCTAATCACAAAGATTTACTTTTATGTTTAAACTTGATTTTGTTTAGCTGTTACATTTAGGACTACAATCCATTTTTACTTAATGTTTTGATATGTGATATGAAGTTAAAAGTCTTACTTTATTCTTTTGTACGTGGGTATCTAGTTTTCCAAGCATCATTTTTTTCCCTCAGAAACTTTATATACATATGATTAACTCTGTTAAGTAAAGAGTGCAACAAATAGTATGAAAAAAAAATTTCCTCAAAAGTCAGGACAAAGGGCTATTCAAAGTCATTGCTTCTCTAAGTGTCAGTTTTGCTTCTGCAGATTGCCTTTTAGGTGCTCTATAGTTATCACAGGTCAGGGAGAACATATGGTATTTGTCCCTTTGGGACTGGCTTATTTCACCAAGAATGATATTTTCCAGTTTCATCCATTTTGTTGCAAATGACCAGATTTCTTTCTTTCTTTCTCTCTCTCTCTCTCTTTTTTTTTTTTTTAACCACCTGGCATCATTTACTGAGACTTCTTTCCCCACAGAGTTGTCATGGCGTCCTTTTTGAGAATCAGCTGACCACAATTCTATGGGTATATTTTAGGATTCTTGATTCTATTCCATGATTTCTCTTCTTATGTCTGTATAGTACTCCCTTGACTACTATAGCTTGGTATATGTTTTGAAATTAGGAAATCGGTTCCTCTAACATTATTAAAAAATGTTTTTGAGTGCTGTGGATCCTTTGCATTTCTATAAAATGCTAAGATCAGCTTGTCACTTTTTGCAAAGAAGCCGGCTGGGATTTTGATGGGTATCTTGTTGACTCTGTAGATCAACTTGGACTATATTGCCATCTTAACAATTTAAAATTTTTTGATCCATTACCATGATATGTCTTCCTCTCCCCACCCTTTTTTTTGTCTTTAATTTCTTTCAACAATGTTTTATAGTTTACAGTTTACAAATCTTATACTTTTGTTAAGCTTGTTTTAAGGGTTTTATTTTTTTTGCTGCTATTATTACTGGAATTATTTTTTTAAAATTGTTTCCATATTGCTCTATGCTGGTGTATAGAAATAAAATTGACTTGTTAATATTTTTATATTCTGCAATCTTGAACAGACTAGTTTCATTGCTTTATGTGGAATCCTTAGGATTCAGTGTGTATAAAATCTTGCCACCTGCAAATAGAGATAATTTTACTTTCCCCTCATATCTTCTTAAAAGGAAGAACAGATTTTTATTTTTAAAATATTTATTTATTTGAAAGAATGAGAGTAAGAGATCTTCCATCTACTGGTTCACTCCTCAAATGCCCACAACAGCTGGGGCTGGACCAGGCTAAAACCAGGAGAAGAAACTCCATCTGGGTCTCCCATGTGGGTAACAAGGACCTAGAACCTTGGGCCCTCATCTGCTGCCTCTAAGTACGTTAGCAGGAAGCTAGATTGGAATTGCAGGGCAGCCAGGACTTGAACCAGGCATTATAATAATGGTGCCCCAAGTTGTAGCTCCACCCACTGCACCACAACACCTTCTCGTATGTCTTGTTTTTCAATCCACATGTACTATTTAAGTTGGAACTTTTTCTTCCTTTCATTCTTTGCCATATTGTGTTCCCTCATGGATGATGTCAGAAGAAATATGCTTGGCTTACTACTTCCAATGTCTACCCACAATGGTCTTTCCTGAAGATCCTATTTTAAGTAAAACACCTGCTGGTTCATTCTCTAAATGCCTAGAACACCCTGTTGCTGGGCCAGGTAAAAGTAAAGAGCTGAGAACTTAATTTTGGTCTCCTGTGGGTGGCAGGGTCTCAAGCACTTGAATCATCATCACTTGCTGCCTCCCAGGGTACATATCAGCAAGAAGCTGGAATTGGAAGAGGAGCATTCTGATGGGTTAATTTTTTTTTCAAAGGAAGTCAGTGTCAAGTTTCATCTAGAAAAATATTGAGTAAATAGTAGGTCAGGAAGTATGCAGATATGGCAACAATCATAAAGGCTGTTTGGAATGACAGATGTTTAGGAAGCTCTGACTTAAGAAATGAGGAGGGGTGAGATGATGGAATATTTATCATTTTCTATGAAGTGAGAAGTTACCTGTTAGCCTCTTTACTGCAGGCCAAGGGTCTGTTAAGGCTATTAGCCTGTGACACATGGAATTAAACATATGTGGGAAAGTGGTTTCTACCACTTTCCACAGAAACCCTCTTGGCAGTTTTGGAGGTCATCTGAAAGATGTTTGAGGTACTTTTGGCTGCCCATGGAAACTTGGCTGACAGGCTGTATCTTCTTTGCAGGGCTCTGGGTTTGCAGAGAGCCGAAATGACCATGACTGCCAACAAGAATTCCAGCATCACCCATGGAGCCGGAAGCACTAAGGCCCCTCGGGGGACTCTGAGCAGGTAGGTAGGAAAGCACTACTGGATGATGACATCGGGGGACAGCCAAATGGCTTCAGTCCTGCCAAAATGTAAATGATTATCATTGTGACTGTGGACAATCTTCAGGTGGCTGGTCCAAGTCCAGCTGATGCTTGACCATTAAGCAAAAGTCTATGCCCTTTTCTAGTTCTAGAAGTCTCTGCAGGTGTTGCATACAGAAACTCTAAAATAAGCTCTGCTTTGTTCTATTGTAGGTTTCTAGCATTTTAGGAATGGGGCTACCAAGAAACAAGTGATATTCTTCATAACCTTCTTCCAGGGTGGGAAAGTTCCAGGGCCTATGCCTGAGTTAGGCTGCAGTCGTTAGAGGTTGACCACACTGGGGAAGCGTGAGTAGGCACTTATACAATTAGTACATATTCCAGGCAGAATTCTATGCACTATAATTTTTTTTTTTTTTTTTTGACAGGCAGAGTGGACAGTGAGAGAGAGAGACAGAGAGAAAGGTCTTCCTCTTCCGTTGGTTCACCCTCCAATGGCCGCCGCGGCCGGCGCTGCGGCTGGTGCATCGCGCTGATCCAAAGCCAAGAGCCAGGTGCTTTTCCTGGTCTCCCATGGGGTACAGGGCCCAAGCACCTGGGCCATCCTCCACTGCACTCCTGGGCCATAGCAGAGAGCTGGCCTGGAAGAGGGGCAACGGGGACAGAATCCGGCGCCCTGACCGGGACTAGAACCCGGTGTGCCGGCGCCGCAAGGCGGAGGATTAGCCTATTGAGCCACAGCGCCGGCCACTATAAAAATTTAAGATGAGCTGCAAGGAAAGGAACTTGGGGAATTTTAGTCTGTGTAACCTATAATCTAGTTTCTGTTTTTGCCATTTTTTTTTTTAAAAGGATTGGGCCGACACCGCGGCTCAATAGGCTAATCCTCTGCCTGCGGCACCAGCACACCGGGTTCTAGTCCCAGTTGGGGTGCCGGAATCTGTCCCAGTTGCTCCTCTTCCAGTCCAGCTCTCTGCTGTGGCCCGGGAGTGCAGTGGAGGATGGCCCAAGTGCTTGGGACCTGCACCTGCATGGGAGACCAGGAGAAACACCTGGCTCCTGGCTTCGGATCAGCGCAGTGTGCCGGCTGCAGCAGCCATTGAGGGGTGAACCAACGGAAAAGGAAGACCTTTCTCTCTGTCTCTCTCTCTCACTGTCCACTCTGCCTGTCAAAAAAAAGTCCATTACTTGGCTTAGAAGTTACAATTAAAGTGGAACTGCGGTACAACTGAAAAAACATGGATTTTGGGATCAAAGAATTGGATTAATATCCAAGCTTTATATACCAGTTACTGGGACTTCAGAATGTTTTCCTGTGCCCCCTAAAATTTTGGTTACTTATCTCAGAGTCATTGGTGAGGGTTAAATGGTTTATGTCAGTGTTTAGCATAGTGGCTCATATAAAGTTACTTGATAAGTTACTGCTCCTTCCTTGTAATAAAGGCCTGCAGAATTGGCAGATCGATGTACGTATACAGTGCTCTCACCAGAGCTTCTCAGGTTTTGGCCAAGGTTTGATGCTGATATCCTAGAAGAACTTCCAGGCTGTTTAATAGAGCCTTGTAGCTTTCATAGTCCCTTCTGCTGTTTCTCAGGTTGACAAATTTGGCTTTGGAGCCTGTAAAAACTAGGATGGGCCTCTCTGAGAAGGTACTTGGCTTTGGTGGGATAGGGCTAGTTCCTTCCTAGATGTCTGGGTTGTGCAGTTGCTAGGCTGAGCCCAGTGGGGTGTGGCACATTCAGGTCTGGCTGGAGGTGGTGGTAGATAGTTGGTTCACTCAGAGCTAGATTCCAGATATGGTTGATAAAATAGAGCACAAGATGTAGCCGCTGGGGAATTCTTGGCATGAATGAGGCAGGGAGTTCTCACGCAGGGCTTGGTCCCAGTAGTAACGATCTGGATAGTCTGTGAGAAGCAGGCAGGGGTTGGTGGGTGGACTCTTACCAATGACTTGTTAAGTATGTAAGGACTTAGCCAGACAAGCTGAATACTCACCCACCAGCAGCAAGACCAGTAAGAAAACCCCCTGCCTCTGTACCCCCTCTGATCTATACTGGGTTCATGCGTACCTGCTTTCCTGACCTGGCTGAGGCTAGGATCTGCAAGGACCAGCAACTTCTTAGCTAAAACAAGTGGAGAAACTGAATTCTTCCAGAGCATTTTGGTGTCCCTGGCGGAAATGGGCCTGCATGTCAGTCTTTGTCTCTCATTGCCTGCTTGTGAGAACCATCTTGCTGAGCCCTCATCTGCTTGGTGCTATGTCTTACCCCTCAGTCTTGCTATGATTGAGTTGGCAGCCAGAGATTTAGAATTAAGGTTCCCATTGCTTGCTGTTCAGTTTTTTTTTTTCTTTTTAAGATTTGATTGATTTTTTGAGAAGTAGAGTTACAGACAGTGAGAGGTAGAGACAGAGAGAAAGGTCTTCCTTCCGTTGGTTCACTCCCCAAATGGCCACAACGGCTGGAGCTGCGCTGATCCGAAGCCAGGAGCCAGGTGCTTCTCTGGGTCTCCCACATGGGTGCAGGGGTCCAAGCACTTGGGCCATCTTCTACTGCTTTCCCAGGCCATAGCAGAGCGCTTCATCGGAAATGGAGCAGCCAGGACTAGAACTGGCGCCTCAGGCAGAGGATTAACCCACTGTGCCATGACGCTGGCCCCGCTGTTGGTTTTAACATCAGATTCATGTAGGGTAAACTAAACATATGTGCTTTTATAGTTTTATCATTTATTTCAGACAAATTGTACCTTTAGAACATTAGTTGGAGACCACCATACCCAGAAGCCCTTAACTCCTTTATTCATTTAGTTCTTCCAGCTTGCACCATGCAGTGTGAAGTGGGAATAGTGTGGGAGGTGCAGTGTGTACATCAGGTGTCAAACCAGAAGCACGACTGTGGACAGGAGCCCCAGTTTCTGTCTGGAATACATGCCTACATGTTTCTAAATGCTTTCAGGAGTTGCTGTTCCTTTTGCTTCCCCGCATGCTGCTACCATGCCACCCTGGATGATGCTTGTAAATATCTGAGCCTCAGGTGTGCCGAAAAAAAGTGCTTTCAGGCTTCCACTTCTAAGCCTTCACTTGCTTCCTGCTACATTACTGTTTCTCTCTCTCTCCCCCTCCCTCCCTTCCTGGGAACCTGGCCTTTGGCATAGAATCACAGGCCTCTGTGGCTAGCTACACCCTTCTCTCAGAGGCTACCCCTTTGCGGTAGGTATTAGTTAGACATTATAATCTAGTGGTTTCTCTGGTGGCCTTTACCCTCAAACCACATCCGGATGTGTTCTTTTTGCCGAGGAAGGCAGTCAGTCACTGGTTCATTTAAAAGTCATTGTCACTGAACTCTGAGGGTTCTGCTAGGCTCTTTGCTAGACACTAGGGGAGAGCGGGATGATCTAGTCTTCTTTGTCCAAGGCATTAACAACTTGGATTGCTGAACTGGCACCTGAATTTCCTAGTCTGACCCTTTGAATTTAGCAGTGATCTAATACCCTTTTATCATTGCTAGCCCAGGAGTCCATGGAGGAGAAGACTCCTCCATGTGACTGGCACTCTGGTTGGGGAGGGCAATGGTGCTGGACCCTTAGAAAGCTGGGCCTTGGACTCCCTGGCTACTTTGGGAGTCTCCACATCATCTCCATCAAGAGAGAGGCACCCAGTGGTACTAAGAGGCATTTGTGTCTAGCTTTAGGGCAAGGGAAAACTCTAGGACAAGGAAAACTGGTAGAGATGGGCAGATAGGACCCTGTGGAACCTTCAAGAGATACATATTGGCAGGGCTGTATCCTTAATTTGCATAAGACTTCATCTGGTGCTACCACCAAGCCAGTCTGGGTTACAGGTCCTGGATTCCAGTCCCTGGGTTTTCACAGATGTTTTGGTAATTTATTCCCTTCCATTTCCTTTTCACTCCAGCCTCCATTTGGCAGGACCATGTGGGAGGAAGAAATCAAACCTTTTTATTTGACTGCCTAAGTTTGTTCTTTGCTGTGCCTTGGTCTCCTGGAACACGTTTCTCTTTTTTGGTGAGGGGGAATGGGTGTGAGACCTCATACTTACCTTACTCCCACAGGCTACCCCACTACAGCTCACAAGATTTGGCTGTATCCAATTCTGGGGTTGGAGAGGGGTTCTCAAAGCGCCTTTGAATTCCAGAGTCCAGGTTTTACTGTATTGGTGTTGATTACCTGGGGGTGGAACCAGAGGCAGCTGGGTGACTTGCAAACAAGGAAGCATTAGTTTGGAGCTAATTCACCTGCTTCAATGGGACGAATTCTGCCGCTTGTTGCTCTCAGGAGGTCTCACTTGGGCATTCAGAGCTAGCAGAAAGCAGGGGCTCTTCTCAGAAGACCTGCTACATTTGCCGATTTCTTCCTCAACTTCCTCACTGTGAAACTACGACCAGAGTCTCTGCAGCTTGAACATACAGGCTGTTGGTCTTGGTTTTGGGAACCTTGCTTCTAGCTGTAGGTGTGGAAAACCTGGGTAAGAATGCAGGCTTCTGGTTGATTTCTTTCTGTGTTCCCAAAGCCTAGAACAATGTTTGGCACATGGAAGACGTTAACTAAGGGTCAGTGTTGTGATGCAGTGGGTAGGCTGCTGCTTGCAATGCCAGTGTCCCGTATGAGCACCACTTCCGATCCAGCTCCCTGCTAATGCACCTGGGAAAACAGTGGTTGCTGGCCAAAGTAGTTGGGCCCCTGCCACCCATGGGGGAGACCCAGATGGAGTTCCAAGCTCCTGACTTTGGCCTGGCCCAGCCCCAGCCTTGTGGTCATTTGGGGAGTGAACCGGCAGATGGAAGATCTCTTTCCATATCCCCATCTCTGTCACTCTGCCATTCAAATAAATAAATAAATCTTAAAAAAAAAAAAAATACAAGACCAGAGCCAGATCATGAAAAGTCTTGCAAACCAGGTGAAGAAGTTTGGTGGCCACTTAACCCACAGCACCACCAATGCTGGGTCCTGGTCTTTCCTTC